AGCGGCATGAAATCTTTTTTTACAATATGTAATGAGTGTTATCTTTCCAACAATACATTCATACTTATTATAAAAATTTGATGTCACTGACACTTTAAAGCAGCACTCAAGGACAGAGTGTCCAGCATGATGCAGAGAGCAGGAGATGTCATAAAGAGACATTTTGCAAAGAAAAGTCCATTCCAGCCCCTAAAAGTGTTGGTCTTGTCTCGGTCTCGACACACTCTGGTCCTGACTTGGTCTCAGGTGGTGTTTGACTACAACACTAGTGGACAWGATCAAACTTCACGTTTATAACTTCTGGATCCACACCAGGATCAACACAGCTGGTGGACAGTTCCTCTGAACAATGCTGCAGAGTGGAATAATGTGACCTTTGAATGAAATTATTAAAATTAGCCAGCAGACCTCATAGGAGCTAATTTTAGAAGTGTCTGGGTGTAATCCCCTGCTGGAAATGAGCTCGCCTCGCAGCCCTCTCATGTGATCCCTGATGTGGTTCTGAGGAAATGTGGCACTCTGTTATCTTGTTGCTAATAAACACCTTTTTGTGTGTTTCAGCTCAGCGAGCGAAGAGGAACGCTGCAGGCTCACGCTGACTGATGGGATCCAGCTCTGCCCAAAAAGATTTAACCCATAAATATGACCTCAGTTTTTATTTGAAAGTGATAAAAATTCAAATTTAAAAATTTTAAGATCATATTAATTCAGAAAACATTTTTGAAAATAAAAAGTTAGGTTCAATACCAGCATCAGGGAAGAGTAAATTTAATGTTGATTAATAATATCCAGGCTGTTTGTTAAAGTATATTCTTATAAATTAAATTTATTCATGTTGTTTGAAACATTTTTCTGTTACTTTTGCAACAAACTCCAGATATGATGTTAACCCTGATTAGCTGTTATTAAATCACATTCTCTGCTGAAGGTAATAAAAAGTCACAACGTACCAGACAAATAAATATTCAGAATTTGACTGGATCATTCTTAATGTTTTGATATGTTTGTTTCTGAGGAACAGCAGTAATGATCCTGGGTCAGTTTGACCAATGGAATATTTAAACATGCAATGGTGTCAGAAACCAAAAAAATCTCCTAAAACATTTTGTATCTGATTATTAATTCCATTACTAACAATTTCAATCAATTGTGCATTGATGTTTTTTTTATTATAGATCACAGATAAAGGATCAATGAGGACAGTTCACTCTTTTATTAAAAATGTATGTTACATTTTTTTATGTCACTAAAAAAGGCACACAAAAAATAATGATTATTCATTAAATTGATTTTTTTTTTTAGATTTCTTTCTTTCTACTTGAGACACCTACTCTGTTCTGGGTCAAATTGACCCGCTAGTTAAAAACCAGGACAAATGAGTCATGAAGATTTGTACTGAAAATAAACTTTATTGTCTAAATGAGCAGYAACCTCTGAACACCACAAACCTTCTTCCACTGTGACATTAGGGCCTAAAGCAGTGGAAGTTGCTCAACCCACTTGTCCCATATTGTCCTCATATCTGCCAGTTTATCTGTTTCCTGTCTGACAGCTCTCGTCTCTCAATTATCAAACTGGATTACTCAGGAGAAAATATAAAGTCTCCAGAGATGTTGTGGCATGAAATACTGTCCTGCCTGCCTCTGCATCTCATAGATTATTTGTTGATTCATGCTTTGACTTGTAGACCCCAGGATGAGGACCTCCAAATGTGCAAAATGCACTTTATCCATCTCCTTCCAATTCTCCCCAGAAACACACCTTTGTTATAGTTTAGTCACTTCAAGAACGATTTTCTGTATTGAACTGGGCATTAGCAGCTCAAAGACTGACTTGATGTCTGTGACACGAGTTACTGCCCGACATAGGCTCTGGCACTGTTTTTATTATATTTTCCCTGTTGTTTACTTGGATATGAAGACCATTGTATTTCACCATTTTTTGACATGAATGGTTCAAACACATCATCTTCTGTTTCACCATCATGATTAAAGAGAAATTACAGCTCTTCCAGTGTTATCTTTTTATTTCTGCTGCTCATTTTTGGGGTTTTGGGGACCCAATTCTTTGGGCTCATTCTTCAGATATTCACACTAGTGCTTCAACACTCACACGCCCCCCTAAACTAACTCCTCTGACTAATAAATCTGCTCTATGCAGAGGTTTTTTTATAAACACTATAGTGTGTCACATTGTTGATATAATGTTTTGTTTTCCTCATCTGTCCTTGTGTGGTTTTTAGTTTTTCTGTTAAGGGTTGCACCTCCTCATGATGTCTTCATGAAGATGATCCTTGCTCTGTGCAGGGCCTGTGGCTGTATGACCCAGAGCACCTGTTCTCCCATGTTTGTTATGTTCTGTCTTCTTCTGAATGGGTGTTCTGAACTGTAATTTCATTGTGCTCTGTACAATGACAATAAAGGTCTAATCTAATCTGACCTAATCTAATTTTCCGAGCTCTGACAGTAACTATATCACACGTATCAGCAGTGTGTAATGTTTTCAGGACTCCCTCGCAGAGAATATTCATGTTTTCCCCCTCAATGTGGGTGGAGTTAATCCACGAGAACAGAAATAGAAAAAGTAAACAGAAATGCAAATACGTATGTAACATGAACCATTTTCATTTTATATCTAGATTATACCTATTAAGGYGCATAGAAAAGGTTCCATGAAGAAACTTTGAAAATATCTATTAGTTGTCTTTTTTTAGCTCAAAAAGTTTATAATTCACTTAACTCACCTACAAAAAAAAATAATTTAATTTCACCGAAACAAAAACCCAATTTTTTGTCTATTGGCTGATAAAATTCATACAGAAAACCACAGTAATTTGGTAAAGCTACTATTTTTTTGCTCATCATAGGAACTCAGATCTCAAAGCTTGAAGCAGAGTTCACAGACTGAAGGCCTGCAGCATTCATGCTGTTCTGACTTCAGACACTGTGGAAGACTGTGTGTATTTAAAATGAATTGATGAATGTCCATCCATTAATTCATGAGGACCTTGTCATATGTCTATCACTCCTTAGATTTTTAGTTACCAATTAACATTTTAGTCTGTGGGAGGAAATCAAAGTACACAAAGGAAAAAGTACTGAGTGTAAACACAATCAGCTTAAACCTCTAAGAAGCACCTGGGTGTATCTGCTTTACTGCAAAACATTAAAAATGAACTGAAGTATGAACAAACAAAATTAAACAGGATTAACAACAGCTTCAAAATATTTGTAATCAGCTTTAAAGCTAATTCAAATCCTTCGGTTTGGTGTCTTTATGAAGTGGAACTGCAGTATTGTAACTCCACAAGCCCCTCTTACACCACTSAGATCAACTCATTTTGAGGCTGTCTCTTTAAAYCCAAACAGGTGCTTCACCCCCCAGCTTCCAGAKGATCCATTCTAGTTTGATAGAGGGATTTATGAGTATATAGCTGAGCAGAAACATTTTTTTAGAATTAAAAGTTGTCAACAAGGGAAGACTTGTCCATCCAGCCTCACATGTTGGAGCCAGAGTGGAATGAAGACCACCAATTTGTAAAGTCCAGACCAAGGGTGGGCAATCCTGGTCCTCAAGGGCTGCAGCCCTGCCTGTTTTACTTTTTTTCGCTGCTCAAACACAGCTGATTTGAATGAATGGGTTCTGCAGTACGGAGGACCGAAACTGACATAATTAAAAACAAAGGCGGAAATATATAAATTGAGTAATAAATAAATAAATACACTTAAAGTGCACCAATAAAATTCAAAAAGGAGAATTTTATTTAAAGCATACATACATACATACAGCTAAATAAATAAATACAATTAAAAATGTGCCATTTAAATTAAAAAAGGAGAGCTTTACCTCACGTTTTGTAATTTAATTGACCTTCATATTTATTTTTCCAACTTAGTTCCAACAAATATGTTTTGCAAAAAAAGTAAAATGTAAATTATGTGCAT